TATATATATATATATATATATATATATATATATATATATATATATATATATATATTTATGGGACTTCAAGTTTCATGCCATTCGGCAATCATTCTGCCATATATTTTAAATCATTAAAAAAAAAAAACGTTATAAAAATACAAAATTGCGTTGCAACGAGATCAAACGTCAGTTTTCACGCCAAACGGGAATTTATTTAACCGGGGTCGAAATTCGATAGCAAAAATTTTTTTCTATGCCTACATGCTGAAATCAATTTACTTTTTTTTTATTTAACAAAGGTTTTTTATTGTATGTTGAAATAAAATATTTCTCATTTATGCAAAGATTACACTTTTTTGAGGATGGATTGACATTGGGTTAGACATAGGGTTGACATTTTTTAACAATACTCCGCTTGATTGTCATAATATTTATATCGCAGAGATTTTAAAAACTTTAATAAAATAAGCTTCAAATCAGATTTTTTAAAAATTAATTGGGATGATCTTATAGAGAACAGTGATGTTAACTCTTGTTTCCAAACATTTATTTCTGAAACAATGTTGATTTTGAATCGCTACGACCCAATTAAAAAAGTTAGTATTAAGAACTTCAAGCGTCAATTTAAACCTTGGATTAAAAAGGCAGGGGTAGACGCAGGTTATTAGTTTACCCCGTCAAAAAAAAAGGCGCCATACGCCATGTTGAACGTGACGTAACTATACCCAGTGTGCAAACGAAAAAAATTTAAAGGATAAAGGAGGGAGGGGAGTAAGTAACAATTTTTGTTAACCTTACTAGTCATAGTAAGGTTAACTTTACTATTAAAGTTAACCTTACTAGTCATAGTAAGGTTAACTTAGTTTTTAGCATTTTAACTAATATGATCCTTACGTATGGTAAAAATTAAGAAAAAAAAAAAAAAAAGAAGCAAATAAAAGCCTGACTGGATTAATTTATGTCTTTTTTCAGTAAACACAGAGTATATATATATATATATATATATATATATATATATATATATATATATATATATATATATATATATATATATATATATATATATATATATATATATATATATATATATATATTATTTTTTATTATTTTTCATATACATATAATATATGGAAAAAAAAAAAAAGAAGAAACGAAGAAACGAAGGTTACACAACTTTTGCATCGAATTCGTTAAACACTGCTGTTATGTGTCATTAACAAAATTAACAACTAACAAAACTTGAATGTAAACAATTACAATTATTGATTGTAAACAATTATTGATTGTAAACAATTACAAAATAAAACGCATTTTAAACTTTAACATCGAAGCCATGCTTCGATGTTAAAATTTAAAATGCATTTTATTTTGTACTGTACATATCATGGTTTAACAATAGTATACTTTTTTGAGAATACTTTAGTTAAATCCTGATACAACGGCGAACGTTTGCAACCAATCTGCAAATGCCGCAAAGTATAGTTTACACCGCAGAGTTTATTTTTAAACCAATCAGATTGCTACTTTTAGTAGTGAGTAACTAATTACCTTTTCTAATTTTCTCATTCCCTGCAAAGTATGATTTACATTAGGAAGTTTTGTAAAATAATTTTTTCATTCTCTGCAAAGCATAGTTTTTGCTGTAAACTTTTCAAGAGATATTATTGCTAAATAAAAGTCGGCAGTCTTATATTTAGCGGGCGGTAGATGTCTTAATATCAATATTTATACCCATTTTTTTACCCCGTCAGTTGCAGCACTTGACCGGGTTTAAATCTGCCCCTGAAAGGAAATCTTAAAATCTATTCAAATACGCAATCTTTAAAGAAAAATGTTAAGATCAAAAGATATTAGGAACATAAACACATTTAAAGCTACTTTCAAACAATATAAATACACGATAATTACCTTAATTAAGCTCAGTAAAAAAATGCATTTAAAAAAAAAACTTTACAGAAAATGTAAAAAATCTTCGCAAAATTTGGAATGGAATTAATAATTTAATTGTCAAAAACTCTAATTTCTAATCTCCCAACTGTTTACAAGATAACGATACATATATAACTGAACCAAATCTTATTTCTGAAAAGTTTAACACTTTTTACTTCACAAAAACTTAAATCCAATATTCATTCGTCTTACATAAACTATACAAAATATCTTAAGTATCCAAATTTACATAGCTTACTCCCGTCTCCAACAAATATTCATTAAGTTTCATCTCTTATATCTAATTTGACGCCGAGAAAATCAATAGGCCCAAATAGCATTCCCACAAACATTCTTATCGATTTTAACAATGAACTTTCAAATATTCTTTCTAAACTATTTAATTTATCATTCATAAATGGAACTTTTCCAAATATTTTAAAATTATCTTTTGTTATTCCAATATTTAAAAACGGCTCTAAACTTTTATGTACTAACTACAGACCGATTTCTCTTTTATCTAACATTAGTAAACTTCTTGAAAAACTTATGTATTCTAGAGTGTACTCTTTTCTCAACTCTTTTAACTGTTTAAATGAATTTCAATTTGGTTTTCGTTCAAAACATTCTACCTGCCATTTCGTTCAAAACATTCATACCTGCCATTCAGTATAACTGAAAAAATTAGGAAAGCTCTCGACACAGATCATTTTGTTTGTGATATTTTCATAGATTTACAAAAAGCTTTTGATACCGTTGATCATAACAATTTGATTTCTAAATTAGAACACTATGGTATCCGTGGTGTTGTAAATGATTGGTTTCCATCTTATCTTACAGATCGGAAACAATTTGTAAGTATTAATGGTTATAATTCCACTAATAAATCTGTTGTGTGCGGTGCTCCTCAAGGTTCTGTTCTTGGTCCTTTTTTGTTCTTAATTTATATTTATGACATAAACAACTCTATTCGCTTCTCGTCAATTCATCTTTTTGCTGATGACACAAACCAATTGCATATTAACAAATCGTATAATTCTCTATGTAAAAACATATATTCGGATCTAAAAGGTATTGTTCACTGGTTAAATGCTAACTTAATATGACTTTACGAAAAAAAAACTGAACTGATCTTTTTTTCATCATCTAGAAAAAAACACAATCTAAACAAAAATTCTAAATTCCAAATCAAAATTAATAATAAACGGTTATATCCTACAAAAGTTATCAAATATCTCGGTGTTTGGATTGACAGCAATCTCTCGTGGAATTTTCATATCGATGAGTTACGCAAAAAAAACTCGAGCTAACGGCGCACTTTCAATAATTCGTCATTATGTCGATAAATTCATACTAAAGAATATTTACTGTGCATTATTTTTATCGCATCTTAGTTACTGTTGCCAAATTTGGGGTCAAAATGGCAACTATCACGTCAAAAAATTGATTTCCTCTCAACATCAATCCATAAGAATCATAAACTTCCAATCTTTTAAGTCAGAAATATCAGAATCTTTCAAAAAACTGAAAATTCCAACTCTTCCAGCGCTAGTAAAATTTGCTAATCTTCTTTTTATTTTTGCCTCTCATAATAAAAATTTACTCTCTTCTATAACAGACATTACAGAAAATTACAGAAAGTAAAATAATACATACATAGAAACATATATAATGGGAAACTTAATGTACCATCGTTTAAAACTCAGATGTATGGTAAACATTCTGTTGTCTATCAGTGCATTTGTGAATGGAACAAGAGTCTTGTATGTATAGTGAATGAGTTCAAAAAACTGCAACTTCAAACACCTTTATCTTTTCTTAATCTTACACAAAACCAATTTAAAAAAATTCTGAAAACAATTTTGTTCTAACTTATTGATATGATTTTCACTTAATTTTTAAAATATACTTATATTTTTTTAAATTTTAATTACTACAAATATTATCATTAAATTCTTTTTTGTTTATTTTTATTATTATCATCAAAGTATGGTTTTTCAAAGCTTTACGTGTTTATGTATGTTGTATGTATGTATACTTATTATTATTTATATTATATTTAAAAACTGGTGTCACTCATTTAATCAGAATTCTGTTTGAGTGACAAAAAGTGCTTCCTTAAGTTTCCAGATCTCTTCAGAAAGTTTAGTGTCATTTTTATACCTGATCAAGTTAAATGATTTTATGTGATTTGCAAACCTGATCTTGAAGGAATTTTCGCTAATACCAATATAAGATTTCTTATTGTGATTGACGTTCGCTCGTGTTATGGTAGCTTTGTAAAAAATATTTTTAGTTAGACATTGATTTTCTAAAGGACAATTAACTCTGTCTATACAGTTGCATTTTCTACCATTTTCGGTATTTTGGTTGCGCAAAATGTGTTAGTTGTGATACTTAATAATAGTACTAATATTTGGCATGCAGCTGTAGCTTATTTTGACGGTGTTTCTGTTAAAAATCTTGTGTCGTGTGCAATAAAAAGTAAGTCAATTAAGTTCAAGAAAAGGTTTCCTAATTAGGTGACAACATTCTTACTAAAAGGGGGATTTTAACCATATGATGTGGGGGATTAAACATATGAATTAGATTATACATGTTATATATAGATTAAACATGTTAATAGGAAAAGAACTTTCAAAAATTATTTTGCTGGAGGAGTTTTATGATAATCTTTCAATAGAGGTTGGCAGCTGTTTTAAAGTACTTGGTGGGTGGGTAGAGCTAGCATGGATATAGTTTAACAAACTTTCGGGATTATGGTAAGGTTTGATGCTGCAGTCATTAAGATTTAAAGACTGCATTTTACAATTTTCAACTAGACTTATATTCATCGAGAAATGTTAAATTTCATTGTAAAATATTTTAGAGTTCAAAAGTTATGACCATATAAAGTTTGCAAACCCCTCAAATTGAGGGGGTTTAACTATATATATTGTTATAAATCTGTTTTTTAAAAACAGAAGTTGTTTAATTACTTAGAAATATCTTAAATATTTTGACCTTGTGCAAAAGAACAACTAAGTAGACTTATCTAAAGTTAAATTACTGATATTGTATAAGTGATCATTGAAAAAATACTAAAGATATAATAAAGTTATATTTTCTAGGCTAACCTTCTACCTAATTAAATTGCTATTATTGAATCGTGTACACATAAATTGACTAACTAAAGGTATAAAAGACTAAGCCAGCTACATAGTTTCTTTTCTTAATTTTGACGTACGTTGCTGAGACGGGCGCATCAAATCAGTAAATTTGCTTGCGCTATTAACTACTAGATGTTCACGTCATTTTTTTTGCTCTTGCTGACTGAATACTTGTATTGTCTTTTAACAGCAGCACTATACTGACATGTTTGCTATAATACATCAGAAAACTATTTTTGCTTAATGAATCTAAAACTCCTTGTCGTTTACCACTCACCATTTAACAACAAAATTGGCCTCATCTATGCTAGTCATCAAATTTGTACTGTGTTGTAAACATCCTGTGCATTTCGTCCCGTTTCGCCCTACAAAAAAAAATTAATAAACTTCATCTATTATTAAAAATCAGAACGAATTTTTATACAAATATTTTTTATGTAACTGTTTTTATGTAGTTGTTCCGTGCCTCCCCAGACGACCGCCAAAGTTTTTTTAGTAGTTAAACCGGGCCTTTATCAATTTAGTTTTTTTGATTTTTAAATCATTTGTATCACTGTTTTTATTTTTGTTGATTTTAAATTTTTTGGATATTAACTTTTGTTTAACTTGTTAAATGTTATTCACTTATCCACTAGGCTTGATGGATGGTGGTAAACTCATCTAGATTTGTTTTTACATAAACTGTATTAAGCTCTTTAAATAAATAGATTATATAAACACTTATGCAAAACTCATTTTTAAACTTTATTATAAATCATATTTCCAATAGAACAAATATTTAAATATGAAACAACTATAAGTGGTTAGTATATACTTATGTTTTTTAAAAGCCTTAAATGACTGTGAAATAGTCAACACTAAATGATATTTGTTTTTTTTTCTTTAATTTTTGTTTTAATTTTTCTATTTACAATTATATTTAAATCTTGCAAACTTGAACGCGTCTGTTGAAAGTTTAACGAACTTGTTTTGAGAAACTAATTTTGGTCAAGATTACCACTCAACATCTTCTATTTGCAAAAGACTACTAAAATAGTCGATTTTTAATTTTGCGTTTATTGTCAGGTTATAAAGATTATTATTTTTTTTTCTTTTTCAAGTTATTAAATGTATTTTTGTTTATTCTTTGCTTTAGTAGAGCAAAAAAATCTTTTTCTTTTTATTTGCTTAGACAGGATGTATAAAATTATTACTGGTTTTTATTACGAGAGAGAAAGGCGGGAGGAAAGAGAAGAATTCAAAGTCTTACAAAGTTTAAGGTTAAATGCTTTCCCCTCTTACCCGAGAAAAAAGTAACAACATTAAAGCAACAAAAACAAGAAAAAACAGCATTATGTTAGATAATTATGGAATAAAAATATTTAGAGATATTGGTGTTTCAAAAAACCAGTCATTCTTTTAACGTTTGTCGCGTTTGCTTTTGCAAGACTGAGAAGTTTTTTAGGATTTTGTATCTTCTAACTTATATCGAAAAATCATTTTAAATTTTATGACTTCAGTTGACGAACCATATAAAGATAACTAAATAAAGACACTAAAATATGAAAATCAACCATTTAAAGATAACAAAAAGAATATAGCCTATTATAAATATTTTTTAATTTTTGTCAATTTACATTAAATATTTCACCACACCACTCCATAGCACTTAAAAGGTGCCTTTTACTTGTCAAATGTAGCAACAAGTTGTATGATTACGCCTAACCTGATGTGAATTGGTGGCTACTTACTAAGAACTTTCTGATATTCTATTCACAATACTCTTATTCAAATTACTCTTGACCGTTGATATTCTATCAACGGCTTCCATTTCACATTACTCTTGACCACAGAGAACTCGGTTTGTTGTAGTAAGTCTTTCCTGCGTGCCTAATTGTTTCATAGCGAGCCTTAAAGTTGGTTTCCTGGTATGGCAGTCTCAAAAGCAAACTAATTTTGTAAAATATTAAAGAATCATTAGAATAACACCATTTTAAAATTTCTGATGACCTCAAATTCGTAGTGTTCATACTTCAAAACAATCAGCGGTATTTTAACATTGGTGTAGTTTTCCTTGAGATGCATGAACTCACTTTAATATTCAACGAGAGAGAAAACGTGTATTTACAACTTGATGAGTTTTTTACTTTTTAAGTTTTAAATGCCTTAGATAAATCGCTAAACACTCGAAGACTCGGAGACAAGTTGCCAAATGTAACTTTTATTTTGTCAAAACGTTTAAATATTTGATCGGCTAGATCAATAATTGCACGTTCAGTTGAGAGCAACTTTATTATATAATTGCACGTTTTGTTGAGCAACTTTATTATATAATTGCACGTTCAGTTGAGAGCAACTTTATTATATAAAAAACCTTAACTGTATTTTTTTATAAAGCTATCATATATGTTATAAAATACAAGTTTAAATATTTTTGGGAAGTACAGAAAGTACCAATATATAATATACTTTTTATATATTATAAAAATCAATTTTAAATATAATGGCTTGTTATTATTTATGTTATTATTTATTCGATATATACTAATATATTACTGTATTCCCTACAATTTTTTTTAAATAATTTTAATTTTTTCTATTTGAAAAGTTAAAATCTTCTGAATATTTCTGTATTGGTAAGACCAAAATGATAAAACTGTTATGTCTTCTTCACTTTAATAACTTTAAAAAAAAAGTTATTACTAACATCTTAATATTACGATTGTTTTCCGGCTTTTTTCGATTACGATTATTTCACGACTTCTTATCGTGAAATATTATCTAATTCACAACCCTTTTACAATTTCGTTGTTCTATTCATAATTTCATATTCTGTTCACAATTTCATATTCTGTTCACAATTTTAAAGTCAAAAATAGCTTTCTATGATAATTCAGAAAATTTATAATATTTTCCATTGATTTCAAAAACAATTGATTACATGTTTATAATTTTTATATATATTTACAATGCTTTTATTTCATTTACTTAGATTTTAATATTTGTGTATTTTTATTCATCATTTTCAGCATAAAATATAAAAAGATAATTTTTTTCTTTCTTTCTTTATTACATCCTTTAAAATGAAATTAATAGTAAAAGAAATTACAAGTAAAAATTAAAAATAAAAGCATTATAAAGTTAAAAATTAAAAATACAAGTAAAATAAAGAACGCAGAAACTCAAACCATGATGTCACATCACAGAGAACCGCTGAAAATAGATTTTGCTTTGTTCACGTCAATATTGTCTCTCTAATGTAATATTTTTTCAAATTACTTGCCACTTATCATTGTTTAGTTGAAGGCCGTAAGTAAAATAGCTGGATTTTTCGAAATTGGTAGCAATAGCCAAGTAGTTTTTTGGTACTAGAATGTATTTTTTCAATGTTACTAATCTTCCAATCTATTTATTTATTTAAAATGAGCTTATTCATAAGAACATTTTTAATATGATCGTCAAAAATGGTTTGCTACATAGCAAACCATTTTTGACGATCAGTTATATAACTTAACAGTTCCATTGATTATATAATTTATTGGTTCAATTACTACCGTTGAATAGTTTTTTTTTCGAACAAAAATTGTTTATTATACAATAGATTGTTTTTCTCAATTAAATATGTTTTTCATACATGTTATAATATCATATAATCACATTTAAAAACCTAATGGAAGAAGGTATTTTAATGACCTAATGGAAGAAGGTATTTTAAAAAATATATATTTGCTTCAGACTAATTGTATAAACTATTAGTTTTATTATCAAATTTATTAGAACATATATGTTCTAATAAACTTGAGAAACATGATAAAAGCATGGCCGACGATACGGGTTTCGAAGTGGAGGGGCACAACCGTCAATCTCTAAAAAAAGTCCTCGAAGAGCGTTGTTCTGACGGCTACAAAAAAAACGGGATTCAGTAATTAGACATTGTATGCCTTCATATTGCATCGGTAAAAAGACATTGGGTAATTTCGGGTAATTTAAGTACCTAGATAATATGTGTTAATACCTATTATTATTAGGTAATTGTATTGTTAAAATATTATCATTACACATGAAAGAATCTGTGGCGCAAAAATTGATGCTAAAATTTAGATTTTTTTTTTTTTCATAAAGAAAAACATATTGGCTAAAAATCCGCTGTACTTTATTTGGAAAAAAGTACATAACATTAATCTTTGACTTAATTTAAAAACACCATTTTTGAGAATTGAACAGCTAGCGTTTTCATTAAAATTAACTAGTTTAAAGTCCTAAAAATTCGGTAGTTTAAATTGCTTTTTGAATTAAATCAAAATTTAATACAAAATTTTAATATTTTAACAACACTAAATTTCTTTTTGTAATTTAAAACCAAAAATGTTGTATTTTTACTGTTTAAAAGTTTGAGTTAATAAAATTAAAAAAAATAATGAATATTTTTTTGCGTGTGTAAAAACAAAGTTGTATTGTTTCAATTAAAAATTACTTAGAATTTGATCTTTCCATGATAAGTTTTGTAAAAAACAAATCATTATATTAGTTCGAGCTGTCAAGTTTGATTTCTTTACATAACTAATGTTATTTTTTTGAACCAATTCAAAGTACTCATATTATCACAAGGCCTGGGTAGTATGAGCACTTTTGTCACTTTTTTAAAACCTCTGTGTTTTCAAGAATAAATTTCGGGTGCTCAAATATCTAACTGGATCATGAATAGTGGTCCCTAAAAACTGTTTTCCCAAAAACTTTGGATGCAGAATAATTATTCTTGAAAAATTCCTCAAGGTGCTCATAATACCCTAACAGTGTCTTCAAATGTCAAGTTTTAACACTACAGTACGTTGTTTATTATATCAGTTTTAATTCAAAAAAGTGCTAATTTAAGTAAAAAATAGTGTATTTTGCTATAAATGTATGTAAAATAAATATATATTAAAATGCCAATATTCCAAAATAACAAAAAAAAAAAAAAAAAAAAAAAAACTGCGCAAAGTAAAAAAATGTTACAATTTAAAACTCCAAAACTAAAGCAACTCTAAGATTATATCATGAAAAGCATATCAGATCAGTAATTAATGGTATATTATCTGTTTTTAATAACCTTAATACAACTATGAAGTATGTTCTCAATAACTTTTTCAATTTGAACTTGTTTTATTATATTTTCGACCATTATTATATTTGTGTTCATCTAGTATGAATCCCTTAATAGAGTTTTTCAGCTTTTCTAAATCTACTATGCAAACTTACTTTATTAAGTATGTACTTATTTAATATATTGTCAACAGGATTTAGGTCAGGAGATTAAGCAGGCCATTGCGTTACAGTGATTTTATTTATATCAATCCACGTTTTAACGAGTTTTGATGTGTTTTGGGGATTTTTATTCTGTTAAAATGTTCACCGTAGAGGCGTATTTTTTATCTAAAAAAAGTTTGGTTCACCAGAATATATGGATTTTTTTATTTTTTATTCGCAATTCAGAAACTATGAATTCACCCCCAAACCTTGAAGTCTTCGTAACCCCCATGATTCACAGTTCTTATAGTGTACATTGAATTCAATTGCTTAACAACTGGTCTTTTCACATTTTTTTTACTTTCTAAACTTTTCAGGTTAAATTTTAACTCATCAAACCATAATAATTGTCTCTTCTGTACGAATGTCCAGGTTTTTTAGCCGTCTCCTAACGCGTTTTACTGTTCTTTGCTAATATAAATGGTTTTTCTATTGCACAATAACTATACTACATTGATCATTAAAAAGATGCTCAGTCTTTAAATATATTTTCTGAAATATTGTATCATTGTCATTTGAAATGGGAATTTTTTTTAATGTATCTAATAACCTTACAACCAAAATGACCACTTTTTTGGAAGGGAACCTTTAAAATTACGCCAGTAGTCTTCCCACATATTTAAATCAATCATGATATGGCATGGTTCAGGAAGATCATCCTCGTACTCATTTAAATAAAGAATAAATTTTTTTTCTCCATTCAGAAACATTTAAAACGTTATTGGGCATTGCAAAGAATCCATTATAAACATCAATGTTTCTATTAGAGAAACGTAACTGAATTTGAAATGACAAATGGT